CTTCGGCGGTCGCCGAGAAAAAACTCCAGCGTGGGAGGAGTTTGGCGAGGCCATGGAAAACGACTTCCGGACGGCTTCGAGGAGATTCTAGTCCACCATCCGGCGGCTCAGGGCGGGAAAGCGGTGCAGCATCAACACTGTTTATGGTGGGGATGGGGTGCTGCTGACCTCAACTCGGGACGTTTTGGGTCGGGGGGAATACTTCGAAGACCTCCTCAATCCCACCGACACGCCTTCTAGTGAGGAGGCAGAATTTGGGGACTTGGGGGTGGACTCACCTGTCTCTGGGGTGGAGGTTGCTGAGGTACTGTAGTTAAAAAGCTCCTCAGTGGCCGGGCCCCGGGGGTGGATGAGATCCGCCCGGAGTTCCTTAAGGCTCTGGATGCTGTGGGGCTGTCCTGGTTGACACGCATCTGCAGCATCGCGTGGACATCAGGGGCAGTGCCTCTGGACTGGCAGACCGGGGTGGTGGTCCCCCTCTTTAAGAAGGGGGACCGGAGGGTGTGCTCCAACTATAGGGTGATCACACTCCTCAGCCTCCCTGGTAAGGTCTATTCGGGGGTTCTGGAGAGGAGGGTCTGTCGGATTGTCGAACCTTGGATTCAGGAGGAGCAGTGTGGTTTTCGCCCTGGCCGTGGAACAGTGGACCAGCTCTATACTTTCAACAGGGTCTTGGAGGGTTCATGGAAGTTTGCCCAACCAGTCTACATGTGCTTTGTGCACTTGGAGAAGGCATTCGACTGTGTCCCTCAGGGATTCCGGTGGTTAGTACTCCGGGAGTATGGGGTACCGGGCTTCCTTATGAGGGCTGGTCGGTCCCTGTATGACCGGTGTCAGAGCTTGGTCCACATTCGTGGCAATAAGTCGAACTTGTTTCCAGTGAGAGTTGGACTCCGTCAGGGCTGCCCTTTGTCACTGATTCTGTTCATAGCTTTTATGGACAGAATTTCTAGGCGTAGCCAGGGTGTTCAGGGTGTCCAGTTTGGTGACCTCAGGATTAGGTCTCTGCTTTTTGCAGATGATGTGGTTCTGTTGGCTTCATCGGACTGTGATCTTCGGCTCTCACTGGGACAGTTCGCAGCTGAGTGTGAAGCGGCTGGGATGAGATTCAGCACCTCCAAATCTGAGACTATGATCCTCAGCCGGAAAAGGGTAGAATGCTCTCTCCGGGTCGGGGAGGGGGTCCTCCCCCAAGTGGAGGAGTTTAAGTATCTCGTGGTCTTGTTCACGAGTGAGGGGACGATGGAGCGGGAGATCGACAGGCGGATTGGTGCGGCATCAGCAGTGATGCGGGCGCTGCATCGGTCTGTCATGGTGAAGAAGGAGCTGAGCCAAAAGGCAAAGCTCTCGATTTACCAGTCGATCTACGTTCCTACCCTCACCTATGGTCATGAGCTGTGGGTAGTGACCGAAAGAACGAGATCGCGAGTGCAAGCGGCCGAAATGAGTTTCCTCTGCAGGGAGGCTGGGCTCTACCTTAGAGATAGGGTGAGGAGCTCTGTCATTCGGGAGGGACTCAGAGTAGAGCCGCTGCTCCTCCGCATCGAGATGAGCCAGATGAGGTGGCTTGGGCACCTGCTTAGGATGCCTCCTGGACGCCTCCCTGGTGAAGTGTTTCGGGCATGTCCCACTGGGAGGAAGCCCCGGGGAAGACCCAGGACATGCTGGAGGGACTATGTCTCTCGGCTGGCCTGGGAACGCCTCGGGATTCCCCCAGAGGAGCTGGATGAAGTGGCCGGGGAGAGCGAAGTCTGGGTTTCCCTGCTGAGACTGCTGCCCCCGTGACCCGACCTCGGATAATCATGGATGGATGGATGAATGGATATTGTGTAATACAGAATCTGACAGGAATAAATAATAATAATAATAATAATAATAATAATAGTTATTATTGTTATAATACAACAAAATGGGAGAGACCCAGTAGATGGCCCTGACATACAGGAGAAACCCAGAAATAAATGGGTGTGTTGGCAGGTATACATACATCTAATAATTACGAGATAGCAAGTCATAATTATGAAATAATGTGTCTAATTTCTTTTTTCTGTGAATACACTGCGTTTCCGTACGTTTGCAACATGTGATGTGCTTTTCCTTGGAACATTTTAACACATTAATTCGGTGTTGATGCGGGCAACGCATATAGAATCCACAAGGTGGCGCCCCACCAACACGAATGATATTGCAATCACTTGGAAACGTTGCGAACGTAATTCTCGGGAAGAACAGGCGTTTACTGCAAGAAAGTCATACACAGGCTTGGATTAGATGAGGTAAAATTTATATTATACAGATTATCTGAGATCAGTGCTTGATGTGGGCCGGTACCGGTACATAGTATCGGTACCTTTTTGTTTTTCTCTTCAAAGTACCGGGAACGTTTCTAGTAGGCTATACTGCTACCTCTCACAATCTAGGTGTAGTGAATAATAAGATGAATTCCGGTGCCTGTTTTTTCACACTTAAAAAACAGTTACCGGGGTGTCCCTCTCGTGACAGTGGCTGGACGTCTTATTGACCGAAAACGGAGTCAAAATTAAGGTGTAATGTAGGCGATATAATCAGCCAGGTGAATAGAAGCCGGTCTTAGCTGTGCTTTGCTTGTGGAAATTTTGAACTAAACGTACATGTTGAATTAACTTTTTTTTTTTTTACTCATTTTGGGAAATGGCTGGCTTTTTGCATTATTATGAAGGCCCAGTCACAATATTTAAGGTATTCCTTATTTAAGACAGTTTGCAATACTTGAATCGGAATTTCTGATTAGCTAGCTGCATTTGTTTTATGTGTAATTATATCGTACAATATGCTGACGTATGAACACCAGGCAGCAGCCCTCTCATACATCATCATGGTCATCATTCGTCCATCAGAACCCATTTTTTCAGGAAATTAACATATAATAATTTTTGTCCTTTGGAAAAATGATGGGTAAGTTCTGATGTTTTGAATCTATATCATGGACAGACAGTTTAAAAATTTATATAGCATGTGAAGTAACTGCCTAAAGATAAAACAAGGAAATTAAATTTATTGTGCATTGCTGACATGCAGTTGCATATACTTTTTGTTGAAACAGGACATTGCTGAGGCACTGCAGTTGTAAGAATCATTACGTGGCGTATTCCTGCAAATAGCTGGTTTATAGTAAACTGTGTGCCATATGCACGTTATTGATAAACAAAAAAGGGAAAGTGGTGGAGATAAGGGTAAATGCCTCGATTCTCATCACTGCTGCCTTTGAGCAGAAATTTAGAAGCGCTTGCGCTGTAACGCTGTACCCGATTGCACGCGCTGTGAAGGCAGATCACGTGACTTCATGGAATCAGCTCGAAGTTGAAAGTGAAAGTAATGGCAGTCCAGCCGCGAGGCGTGCGCGCTTGTCGCAAGATCGAAAATTCATCAACGACGCAGATAAAGAAAACGAAAGCAGCAGGTGTATTGATATTCATAGGACACTGTCCTTCGCCATATTGTTTAGATACTATTAAATCACGGAATGTTACTGATCGTGCACATGTTTGCACGTTTGTTTATGTTTATTATTATATATCTAGATTGGGCGATATGAAAAATGTGACTGTCTTGCAGACTGCGATTGTACAGACTAACTTCACAATGTTATAAGATTTATTTCTGCATGTATATTTCTGCATGAATTTTGTACAGAGACTCCTGCCCCTTAGGCATGTAGTACAAACCATATCTTGTTTCTGGAGAGCAGCAATTTAATTGGGCATGTTCACGGTTTCAGTTTCATTTTTCTGTAAACTGCAGCAACATTTTTCTAGAGCAAGGTCATCGTTAAAGATTACTAAGTATGTGTTTGGTTCCCATGAAGCTAGTACAATGTAATGTTGTATTATGAGAGTGTCGTTCTATATTTTAGTTTTCAAAAAAGTACTCTTTATGAATTTTTACTGAGGCGTACGGTATAGGTAAGTTCGGCCTAAGTGTAGGCCTATATGTATACCTGATTTTATGCGTTTATTTGTCCGTTTGCTTGCTAATTGTACATATGCAACAAATGTAGAACATTAGTCAGTTTAATGTTCCGGTAAGATCCAATAACGAGCTTCTCATTGTCGTCATTGACATAACGAAAATGCAATGAATTTTCGCATTGAGGAAGTGAATCATTCCAACAGTTAATCTTTTTTTTTTTTTTTTTTAAACTTTCCTATATCGCAATAACGTTTTGCTCAGATACTACTTGTTATCTAATGCCTATCTAGTGCCTTAATATGTCATTTTATCAGCGCCCACACATCCCCTGGTGAATAGATGCCATATAATACGAAGTAATTCTTGTCTGTTGTTGTAGGGTGAGATCTAGAATGTAATTCACTACACCAGGTGCTCTTTGCTGTGGCACAGGGTGTGAAATTAGTTCATCACTCTGTGGCTTCACCTTGCCTTTTGCAAGTTTTTTTTTCGGGTTTGTACTGAAGTACATGGTCTTCAACCCAAACAAAAATCAATTCACTCATGGAATCCTGCAGTTTATTTTATTTTTGAGATATTAAAATGATCAAATATTTGCTAAAATAATTTAGCAACTTAGTTTTGCACAAAAAGTAGTAACAGGGATTTCATGACATTATAACATTTACAGAACTTTGCAGTAATTGCATTGGTAGCTCTATTATTTAAAACTGGAAACAAGTAAATATGAACATATTTAATTATAACGTATAAACCACACTATAGAGTTCTTTCATTTCTTCTGCTTAGTGATAAATACTGAGTGCAATGCTGACTATAATTTGTGCATTGTTGTGGTCTGTCTGTGCACAGAAGATGCATAGGTTTTCTTCCTCACCTGTTTAAGCTGAAACATTTTAGTTTAATATGCTTTCTTGAACATTATTGTTATTGAAAACGTTTAGAAAATTGTTGGAAAACAACAGGGTCTGTTGACACTTAGGATCCAGGACAAGAATAAACATTGATTTGAGTGTGGTAAGTTGTGACATGCATGGTCGAGATTATGGCATAAGATGATCTTCAGTGATCTAATTTAAAGTCATTTTAAAAGCACGAGTTCACAGAGGTTATTTTAATAATTTAGTGAGGCCCAATTCAGTGAAACTGTTTTTGGATAAATTATCACGATTTTTGACAATAGGTAACAGTATTCTCAGAATAGGGAAGAGGTTAACATACTGTAGGAATTTTGGTAAGGTTAAATGTAATCTGTCACCTGTCCATGTTATGAAAATGTTCCATGGTCTAGAACAGGTTGCAGAATGTATAAATATTGAATCTGAGAAGCAAGTTGTTGATATCTTACATAAATTATGATATTTTAAACAAGATTAGCTGAGGAAACAAAATTCAAGGAACTGGACTTGCTCCGTCGTCCCTTGAATAGACATTTACTGTCTGAAGATCTGTAGAGGCTGATATTTTACAGTTTCATGTATGTGTTTTTGTTTCCCCGAAATCTGCACAGGGGACAACCGCAGTTTCACATGCTTGAGCTGGAAGAGAGACCAGTGTCAGGAAGCTGAGTTCACTTTGATGGTAAACTGAACCTGCGAGAGTGAAAAACTACTTAACTTTTATCCCTTTGGCTGTTTTGGTTAAGAATATTAGTCAGAATATCAGGTCTTAAATAACAAAGCATGAAGCAGTGTGAGTATAAAGTTCTGAAAGGACAGACTAAGAATCAACATATCACCATCGACAGATAAAAGGCTAAAATCAACAATGACACTCAGCTTAGCAAAAGTTCTGCAGCCACGTCCCCCTCTGTTTGTGCAGGAAGCCTTTTTATTAACCAAACACAACCAGCTTGCATTAGGCTATTTGTTGTTGAAATGTGCAAAAACCCTCAATTAAATAACACTTAATAAAGACTTGCAGTGGAGCTTTTGGCAGTTGATCAGGTCATTTTATTGCTATTATTATTGTTGTTGCTGCTGCAAATAATAATTATTATAATGGATGATTAATGTTAATCAACTTTTATTAAAGGATATGCTACACACTACCATGTTTGAAGTTAAGTGACTTTAAGTAACAAATGATATTTGTCCATACGTTTTTTCGATAAAAATGTTATTTTGACGTTATTTAGTTGAATTAAGATGCGATGATGCATTTAAATAATGAAATGATGAAGACGCCCGTCGATATCCTTTTCAACAGAAATTCCTTTGTATAGCTGTGACAGTCATTGAATTGGTACAGAAAGTTTGATTTCTAGGAAGAGAAGGTAAAGAGGCGGGGTTACACTGATAGTTTTAAGCGCTGATTCTGAACAATCTCTCAGATTTGCGTGGCGTCACTGAGAAACGCGAGTGTCCCTTTATTTCAAAGCTTCTTGACTAATAATCTGCAGGTAACTGATCTGCAGTTAACGTATATAAAGGCAACGGGCTGTGGAAATACAATGCAAACCCCAGTGGATTTTTTTGGTCCGTGTGACTCCTGGATTTCAAACGCGATTATCACACGAAGAAGTATGTTTTAAAACGTAATCGCAAGCGGTAAGGTTTCACTTCGAGGCGTTTAGTTTTTCTCTGGTTTTCAGCTTTATTTTTTAAATGTTATTTACGTAGGTAACTATCGCATAAATGAGTGTATGATGCGTATATTGTAATTTGCGATTGATCCTAGTTAAATTATGTTTAGTTTATGCCTGTATGTATTGTTATAACCGATATGCATAACATCGGAATACGGCAAGTAATGAAAACATTCTTGCCGGAGGTTTATAACTCTTGCCCTGTTTTTTTTCCTAACAATTTATTAACTTTATGATTTAGCGAAGCCTATTAGTACCCAAGTAGCTTTAAGCAGTCCTGTGAACTTTCGTTTACTGATTTAGTATAGGCTACCTTAGTACCCAAGTAGCTTTAAGCAGTCCTGTATCTGCCATACAATGTCTGTGAATTTATAACCATAATATATTTAGAGGTTCAGACTTTGTAGTAATAATAGTCTGAAAAAAATCCTGTTGGCTAAATTACAGCAATAACGGGTAAAACAGGTTGGAATATCATTCTGACAATCGTGAAACACATACTGTGACAGTAATTTATTATTGCATATGACTATGATCCTCCCTATTGTGCTTTCCTAATCGACTTAACTGCCTGCCCGTCACTCCTATAAAGCCATTAATCGTGCTTGTTGATCCTTTTTTTTTGCAGATTTTACAACTCTGTCTGCATCACTCGGTGACAGACACTATGGAAAGTCACAAAGGCTGGTGTACGTTATAGGATGGTTGCACGCAATAACCTAGAAGGCAACTCGGTGACAACAGAAAGCAGAGCAAGTACCGAACATCCCCATCAGAACAGACAGAACCAGCGTACACCCCCCAGCCAGGAGAACGGGACCTGGTTCCGATGCTTCAGAAACGACGAATACAAAATCATCACTATGACAATCACCATGCTAGAGAGAAGTGGTTTCTACTGGGCTAAGATGGAAATGGAAGAGGCCCATAGGAGACTGAAGCAGGAGCCGCTGGGAACATTCCTGATCCGGGACAGTAAGCAAAAGGATACCTTGTTCACACTCAGCTATCTGCATCCGACGGGACCAACGAGTGTTCGGATTAAATTCCATGAATCGCGTTTCAGCCTGACTGGGAGTCACAAGTCCTTTGTTTCTCTATTCAAACTGTTGGAACATTACATTGCATCACCGAAGAAGTATCTTATCAGGCCGTATCGGAAAACCAGAGTGCAACCACTCCAAGAACTTTGCCGGAAGAGGATCATCGAAACTTGTGGTGACGAGAAGATAGATCTCATCCCTGTAAATGCAGTCCTAAAGGAATACTTGAACTCTTTTCCTTATCGGATTTAAAGACATATCTAAACGCATTAAAGCTGTTGATTTGAGATATGGAAAACACTGAAAATTAATTTGTTGTTGTAGTATAATATTCTAACTAATTATTTTTGTAGCCAAGTAAAATAAAACATTATTTGTATACTTGAACACTGCCAATAGCTTAGAATGTTTACACTATGTACTGTACGGGCATGCGCTCTGGTTGAAATTTATCTGCTATGCAGAGTCTGTGAAACATTACACACAATAAATTGTGTTGAAGCATCAAAATATGTTATACTTGATAATTCATTCGAACGTGGAAAGTTCTGTGGGTATGACTTGGTCTTCAGGACCCGTGATGATGTATGGTGTGATCTGATCAGGTTCAGTAAAGCCCCGTCATGGCATCAGTAGCCTTTTAAGAACTTTCATCATGCAAATATCTTCCTGAATATTAGTGTTCTCATTCATTCAGCTTGGTTCTCATGGTTTTAAAATGCACAGGAAGAATCTCCACATCATATTTTGAACACCACTTCAACCAGGACTACAATATAATATACACCGTAAAATAAAACTCTTTTAATATCATTAGAAATGTGCAAAACCAGAAAAATAACATGTTAATGGATAGATGACATTAGAGACACTGGAATGAGCAGTGTTTTATGCCACCAGAGGGGGAGCTCTACACTTACACTAATGACTTTACTGTCTTGACATTCATTTACAAGAAACTGAGCAGCTCAGACGTCAGCGTATGCTAAGTATGTATGACTTGTCAAAGAACTACTTGATCATAATCATTCATGTCCTCTTGTTCTCTGTGGCATTTGCTGATGTCATGTAACCTGTCTCCCACCCCAAGAAATTCCTTGAACTAGATTTGCTTGATTACACCTACACTTTTTAAGTAATAGATTCATTAAAATTCTCAGTGATTAAGAAAGGGAGCATACACTTAATTGTGCATCAGAAGGGGAATATCCATTCTCATTGAAACTGCCATAGCAAAACTTCAGTAGCATTATCAAAAATTAAATGACCCAGAAATAATTTAATCACATTTGGGAAACAAATTAGCAGCCGTTTGCTACCTGCTGAAACATTTCAGTAATCTCTGATCACAACAGCAATAAGGAATGACTCAAGATATTAGCATTAGTGTCTCAAAGGTTGCTTCCTGATTTCCACATCTTGAGAATACTATGGTGTTCTAACAGCAGGAAGTGCATACAGATTCACCATCCTTAAATTAAGATCCCAACTGGCTTCTCTTACTGTCTTTGAATAACCACATTCTGGGGTCTGCTGCTCACAACTACGCCATAGGTTTTATTCAGTCATCCAGTCCCAGCCCAGAGAGTACAAATGGGTGTAACCTGGTTTGTATGTTATAGATCAACAAATGATTATAGCATTTAATTAACATGAATTTCCAGAATACCAGATAATTCCAGATAAGTATAAAAATAAATTGGGGATCTATCTCTTAATTTCTGAGAATATAACAAGAATTGAGTCACTTTTCCCCTACAACCTCATAAACTGTAGTGCTACAAAAGGGATAACATGACATCCATTGATGATCTTATTTCCAAACTCCAAAGTCACTTCCTCAATTAAATATCAAGAATTCTGTCTTCCTGTGTGGATGGATACAAGTGTCTGATGAGCAGATGTTGAGTTGATTCGGTTACAACAAATCATGTTACCACACCTGTGAACATGAAACCAGAGACTACGGGCCTCTGAAATGCTTAAAAAAGATCAGTAGCATGGAAATTTCATGAGAAGTTGTCAGCTCTTGTGAGCTCTGTAGTGAGGTGAATTACATTGATTATCTTCTTACAAAGGCTCCTGCCAAGGGTGCCAATATACAAAAAAAAAGTCATCATTTGAATTTATATCAGCGAATACTGAAGAGCCAATGACTGGATCATTATTACAGTTCAGCAACATTATGCACCAATAAAGTAAAGTCAGCTGAGTACCTGCATCTACTGAATGGCCAGGTTACACCTCCATTCATCATCAATGGATTGTTTTCTTCCCTGTTGGCATGGGCATATTCCAGGACAAGAATGCCAAGATCCATTGGGTTCAAATTGTCAAAGAGTGTTTCAGGGAGCATGAGGAATCATTTTCACGTATGACTTGGTCACCACAGAGTTGTGACCTTAACCTCATTGAAGGTCTCTGGGATGTGCTGAAGGAGGCTTTATGGAGTGCTTCAACTCACTTCAACTCACGTCAATACAGGATCTTGGTGAGAAATTAATGCAAATCTGGATGAAAATAAAGGATGAGACATTGCATAAGCCTGTGGAAACAATGCCATGACAAATGTGTGTCATAATCAAAGCTAAAGGCGGTCCAATGAAAAATTCAAATGGAGATTTTTTTTTTGGCTGGGTAATGTATATTAGGCAAGTAAACAGTCATGCCCTGGAATCAGCAGGAAAAATGGGCAAGTGAGAGACTTTGACAGACCATCTCCAAACAGCAGGTCTTGTGGAACCCAGCCCATCTGGTCCGATTCCACAGGAGAGCCTACAGTGGGCAAGTGAGGTGCAATGAATCATGGGACTGCTCTTGTTTGGTGAGGATGCAACCAATGTATCCTTCATATTTGGGGCGGAGCAAGACCAGTACTTGTGTTCTTAGTATTGAAACTGGTCTTCGGCAATGGAAGATGACGTAAAATGGGTACATGGGAACACAAATACGGTCAAGTACTCATATTGAGATTCATCTAATGTAATGCTCTGGGCAATGTTCTTCTGGGAAACCTTGGGTCCTGGCATTCATGTAGATATTAGTTTGACATGTATCACTTTCCTAAACATTGTTGCAGACCAAGTCCATCTCTTCATGGTGGTGGTATTCCCTGATGGCAGTGGCCTCTTTCAACAGGATAATACACCCTGCCACACTGCAAAAGTTGTTTGGGAATGGTTTGAGGAACATGAAAACGAGTTCAAGGTGTTTTACTTGGTCTCCAAATTCCCTAGATCTCAATCTGATTGAGCATCAGTGAGATATGTTGGACAAACAAGTCAGATCCATCTAAGCTCCACCTTGCAACTTACAGGACTTAAAGGATCTGCTGCTAATGTCTTGGTGCCAGATACCACAGGACACCTTCAGAGGTCTTGTGGAGTCCATGCATCAATGGGTCAGAGTTGTTTTCGTGGCAAAAGAGAGACCTACACAATATCAGGCAGGTGGTTTTAATGTTATGGCCGATCTGTGTAGGATCCACAATTATAGATGTAATGATGGCAACACTGGTGTCCTTTTCCTAAAGTATTTCAAATTAATCAGGGTGATTATTTTAGTTTGGGAAAATTTAAACATGCAGCTGCCAGATAGAATGAGCTATATGGCATTTTTAACCTATATTTCAACTTCTCTGTTCTCTTCATGGAAATAAACTTCCCAAATTGCAAAAAAATTAAATTAGTTGGATAAAGGAAGTGAATGAGGTTTCTGTTTTTCTCATTTCTTCAAAATGAGGACAGACTCCAGGAAGATTTAATTCTATTAGGCCCCAATAATGGTTAGGGTTTGTCTATCTACCTTGCATTATCGTGTACACACTGAATGTGTACACACACTGGAGAATGGCGAGTGAGTGCCAAGGGAAGGGCACCCCGTCACAAGGCAACAGTCACACAATGTGGACTGTGCAGAGAGGCACCAGGTCAGAACTGTAGATGGAAAGCGGTGTATCTGCAAGAAACCCTACAAGCTTGGGCAGAAAACACTAATCATATCAATCATATCAATTCCCAACATAAACAAAGAAATAAACAAGCAAACAGAGGTATAAAAACAGAGGTACATATATGAAAACACCTGTAGCTGTAGAAACATAATTATTATAAGTCTGATTGCCTGTTGCTCATTCATGTAATACAAAGTTTGAAAAGAAATATAACATCTCTTTAGTCTAAAACCAAATCAATCAATGAATTATCGGATGTATGCAAGTTTAATAGAGGCACTCCCCAGGTTAAGAACAAGATCTGTTCCCTGTCTTTAAGTAGAATTTGTAGGTGAGTTGGAAAAATAATAATATAGAACATAATAATAAACATAATAATACAGAAATAACAAAAGTAACTACAAATTGTACCGTACTGTACCTCAAGCCAATGACCATCTGAAGTCACACAATGTTTTCTCTAGCATCATTACTGTGAAGCCACACAATGTTTTCTCTAGCATCATTACTGTGAAGCCACACAATGTTTTCTCTAGCATCNCAATGTTTTCTCTAGCATCATTACTGTGAAGCCACACAATGTTTTCTCTAGCATCATTACTGTGAAGCCACACAATGTTTTCTCTAGCATCATTATTATGAAGCCACACAATGTTTTCTCTAGTCATGCGTGCTTTCGATATTACGAACCATTGTATTTAACTTAAATTTTTTATATAATATGCTTTATGGCAGTCCGTTTGTAAGCATGAGCTGTCCAAAAGTCAGATGTTCTTAATCCGGGGACTTCCTGTATTATTATAGACAGAGAACACAAGGCCATAAATGGAAGCAAGCTGGGGCTAGCATTGATGAAAGCATTTAAAAAGTATGTGTTTTCAGGAAGAAGCAGAGACAAATGAGAACATCTTGCCAATGAATCCACGAGTGGTGATGAATCCACCACTTGTGGATTCATCACAGATAGATCTCAGTGATGAGTTTATGACTGATATTTGTTTAGATGATTTCAGCACTACACATCATTGCTGTTACATCATATATGAGAACACAATAAAAAAAAATGCTGTTAATGCCATAGCAACCACAAGGAGATCTTTAAAGCTCTTAGCCAGCTGCTGGCATTCAAATAGAAGTGACAGGAAGCTCATTTAAGTCAAATGAATAATCCCGCTCCCCTCCAGGCCATCAAGTATTTCCAGCAAAAGCATTTCTGCCACTTTCTTTAAATGGCTGTCCTACATTTCCAAAAAGCTTTTTGTATATAAGGATACAGTAATCACTTGTGTTTTAGGAATGTTGATCGATCTGTGAGAGTTTGAGAAATGCTGCAAAATAGTTTTGGCTTTTTTTGTACTTGGATGTAATAACTGTGGTTTTTCCTTCTCAAATTCTGCTTTTCAAATTAAAATGCTGTTTTCATCTTAATATCAATTTTCATGGGAAAAACACAAACTTAAGTTGAGTAACTTGAGGATGAGGATAAATTCCAGTGCTCACCCGGCACCCTGTATCAATAAAAAGTGTGTTGAATCTTAAGGAAATTATAGAGGGAAAA